GAAATGATTGTTCTTTAAGGCTTTAGGTTTCATCGTTTTTATCTGATTTCAGTTTTTATTATGAATAACATTTTGTAGTCCGGCGAACGCTCGACTTCTCCTAGCAATGACCTGCGATCTTCTCAAGACGAGCTCTCTGTCAGAGACGTTGATCATACGCCAAGTGCTGCGGCGGAACCGGATGCGAAAATTATACCAAGTAGGAAAATTGATTGGACTACATCATAGGCACAAATTGTACACAGATAAGTCCGCGGAAGAAATCTTGAGCAGCCTGGAAAACGGCGTCGAGGTGGCCATCTCCAGAGTGAAATCCTGGCTCGTTTACATTAGCGATATTCTGAACTTTATCCAGCGGCGAATCGGCCTGGAAAATGAACATTCAAAGGCGATGCAGAAGCTGTCCGCCAGTGCTCATCTGACGCTTTCCGACGAGGTGAGTCATTCTTTGGAGATGGCTTGACAGTGAGTTAATTTCTTAGCGCTACCAGCCTCTCGAGGAGGTGTTCCAGAAGATGTTCAGGCAAGAGGGCGAATTCCACGAGCAGTGCATAGAGACGATGCGTAGTCTGTACGACTACAAATTCGTAAAGCCTCTCGAGGGCATGAAATACAGCACGGAACGAAAGCTGAAAGAGATCAAACAAACCTGGGAAAAAGCAGTGAAAGCTGTGGTATGTTTTTTGCTGTTATTTTTTCGATGTGTGGCTTAGCTTCAAAATCATGCTACGATGCTGAGGCCAGAGTTCATGCCTGAGTGTCAACGACGAAGAAAACTTTCTGACAGAGTTTCAGGATTCAGCGGAAACAGAGCTCAAGAAGGCACGCCACAATTTGGTGATGCGCGAAAATAGCTACCGCAGGGCACGGGACAGCACCATCAAGTTGGAAGAAGAACGGTCCTCGGACAGCATTCGATACATTAAGAAGAAGAAAACCAAGGAAGATGCCATGTTGAAGGTAAGGCGTGTTTTGCTGTTGTCATCGGTCACTTCATATTTACCCAAATGCGTTGTTTTCTACGCTAGAAAGAAATCGCTTCCCAGGACTATCACTACTTCCAGAAGGAGCTGAAGTTGAAGCGCGACGAGATCGAGGTCGTGAAGGTAAACGAACGGGTTGCGATGCGACCGTCCGCTGGCCATACCGATTCACCAGTCAGCCTTTGTCTAGGCACAAGTGCTGCACGAGCTGTGTGACCTGGCTTACGAATGCGACGAGATGACCAAGATGTGTTCTGTCGCCTATTTCCAGGCTCTTTCAGGCATCTGGGACTCATTGCCGGGAATCTACCAGTCGTTGAGCGCCACTGTTCGAGATTACGTCCCCGGTGTTCAGTACTCACAGTACCTGTCACAGGTACTGAACCTTCAAGGCACTGCAAGCTCAAAGTACTACAGGTAAGGGCTTCTACCTCTGTGACCGCGACCGTTGTGGTGAACAGCCACAATCTTTCGGATACCTTGCATTTTGATGCGCCCGTGTGTTTCGACTCTCCGCCTACAGTCATCTTGTTGCCAACCATGTGACCTCTACGAACCATGCTGCCTTGCAATTCTCTCTGGCATCACAGTAATCATCACATAATCGAAATTACTCTCACGTACCGTTTCGACACCAGTCTGCCTTACACTTTTTTGATTTGGAGCCATTTATGGCGCCTTTTTTTCATGAAACTTATGGTACGGTGCTGATCTCCGTTTCTTTGCAAAGTTGAAGCTCATTTACTTAACTCTGAAGGAAGAAAGACGGGGTATCTTCCCGAGGTTAGACTCTAGAACCTTTCATTTTTGAGTTTCCGGTTTGCCATCACCAGGAGCGCATGATCGGAACTTACAATTGTTTTACCTGTGAACTGCCTTCATGGTGTCTTTTAAATGTTTCATGGTCGGCATTGGGGCAGGTAGTTTGGTACATTTACCCTACCTCAGTATCTCTGACATTTGGACTCTATTTATGGGTGTTTACAGACAAGGTGAGAGACATTGCCAACATAGAGCGTTTCGGCCACGGTTTATCATGTCAGTTGTAGGCTGTCGTTGACAGCTTAGTTTCAGATGAAGCGTGATGTTGAGAATCTGCCTCTGGTCTCTTATATCAAAATCTTGATTATATGTCTAGGTATCGAAATCGTCCCAAGTGTGGAACCAGCCTAGACAAAGTTCGACCCTCAAATGAGGATATCTCTGATTTTCGTCTTAAAATCTTATCGACTTCGTCAGTTCACATGAACTTCATTTTTTTCATGATATTGCTAATAATAATTTGTTTTTGATTTATATAAGGTTAAAGTACAGGTCAGCAATTTTAGAAACAGTGCTTCCAGTGAACCGGTAGTGCCGGCCATTCAAATCAATGGCAACACGGTGATGCCCTCGAAGTCGAAGCCACCCTTCATCGACACAAACCCGTCGTCTTCCGGCAGCGTTACCGTCGACGCTCTGCGCGACATCCTTGAAGTTGCCAAGTCTGTCAGCACCTCGCAAACGCAACCTCGGCGTTCTTCAGGTGAACATCGTCCAGCTTCTAATTTGTGTGCCGATGACAGTTTTTTTTTACGTGACTCCCTAAGCATGTAGAAGCAAGGGGCCACAGAGTGACGCCATATGAGTTGAAGGCTGAAATTCTGCTTATTAACCGTATAATTCCTAATGCAATATCTATTGGCCGAACGATAGATGCTTTTGAATTCTATATAGCTGAACAGAGGCTATAATAAACATTACGGAATTGCGAGTCGCACCTTGGATAATCACCATGGATTTTGTTCAGGGGATGTAATTAATAGCGCGACTGATCCAGACTAATTAAGGAATCGTTAATTGTCACTGTGAACAAAATGAAATATTTAACGGATTTATCATTTCATTTCATCTGTGAGAGACATAGTGCGCTTAAAGTGGTACTATCCAATCGTTTGCAATAGTCACACATTACAGTATGTGTATTTTCTTTTTTCAGTTATTTACGTAGTTGTTGCTGCTTTAATACAATGTCTTGTTGCTACCTATGCACACTGTCAACTCTGACTGAGACAAAGTTCTGACTGTGGACACTGCTGAATTGCAATGTTGAATTTTGAATATAGCCACCAAACTGTTAATTCAGCACAATATTATTACCCTGACGAGGACGCTGATGTGCAACGTCCAAAAGCGTCAGTAAACAAAGGATTATACATGGTCATTTTCAACTGCTGCTTTGAACCATGGACGGCAAGAATAAAGCATTAACAATTATTCAAACAGGCACAACCCGATACCTCCTTTCATATATGTTCAAAAGATTCATCATCGTGTCCGTTGGTCGTGAACTGGTGTGAACCGCCAACGACAGATTTCTTAAGAGATTACATATACATCAAATTTGCCTACTATTCAGTTTACAGTCATTGGCTTTCATTTCTTCGAAAGTCAGTCCTTAATTTGAGGAACTTCTTTGAGAAATTTTTCCTTTAGTGGGTGCGGTACACGTTGAACTGTATTTGGAGGACTTCATTTTCCAAAATATGAATTACCTTGAAAACATTCAGAAATTGATCACGCAAGTGACAGGACAGTACGACACTGTATTCAAGCTTCATGTGATTTAAAGTGTCTTTTTATGTTTTACTAGTTTCGGTCAAACTGCCATTGTTTTTTTATCATACTCAAGGCCTCCTTACGGACTGCCAGCAGATGCATGGCTTCTTCACCTTAGAAAGCGTTCTCGCTCTTTTTTTGCGTGCACTTCCGATTTACATTAAAATTTGCATGAACTTGCATGATTTATTTTTAAATTCACATGGCGTTCTTTTGATAGACAAAACGAAATTAGGTCGGAGATCTTCGCTGATGTCTGATGCCGCTTTGTCTCATCGTCTCCAACGAACTCGTGCGCCAACCAAGTGCTGCCACTGTGATTCGTATACGTTTTTCCAGACTGTACAGTGTACAGAGGTACGCGTTTGGCAACCGTCATGTCGTTTAATACGGTGTTTGTTCCATTATGCAGATTGCAAAGATTTATGTTTATTACTTTTACGTGATGTAAAGATATTTGACTCACGAGGCGTCGACTAAAGCCGCATAATTGTATCTTTATTATTTCTACTATCCTTGAAATGGCTTCCTCAAGATAACACCTTTTAGGAACCTCAGTCAGCAAACTCTGATACCATTATCCTGTTTTATTGTTGATTTGTATTGCTATCCTGGTGAAGGATACAGAAAATGGTTCTCCAAACCGTCCATTCTGGTTTTTGGTGCAAGTATCTATGTCACTAATGAATGAGTCACATATGAATAGTCACTGAGGGTCACCGTAGCAGCAAGAAGTATGCCCCAGTTACGGCATCGGAAAGGCATCTTTTGGCGGTGGAAGCTTATTTTCCTTGTCTGGAAAATTTGTCATTAATGGATTTGATATGTCCAGCTCAAACAGCAGCAAAATACGACAGTACTGAAGAAGTGTACACAAATTGTGATTGATAGTACGAAAATTAATCCGTTTCATCTCTGGGTCAACTTCGGCAGCCATTTTAGCATTTTCGCCATTTTCTTTGTGTCTTCTTTGCTTCTAATTTGTGTTGACTACCTCAACCTCGTTTTCTGTTCCTCAGTTGATCTCTCTAATTATTCTTATTTTTCGGGTTATGTTTGATGCTGTACTTCATTTCACTTACTTCACTCTCTTCCTTATTCATCCTTTCTCTCTGCACTTATTTCATAACATTTTATTTCTTGCTATCTGTTCTCTGCAACTTCTCTGCTCTATATCTCTTTTACTTTGTTTATACTACTTCCTTTTTCATTATTCTACTTTTGTTTCTGCATTTCTTAATTTCCCACGCCGTCTTTTCTTCTTCATTACTTTCAAGACTCTTTGTCATCTACATTTCATTTTGGGATTTTTTCCAGTTTCTTCAGCACCATTATCATCATCGAGATCATCATTGTTTTTTTTCCGTTTGCCTTCGTCTTTTATTATGCTTATGACATGCGTTATTGTTTCTCTTTCCCTCCTTTTTTCATTTTCTGATATCGTTTTTAGTTATCTAGCTTATCATAAGGTTCTACTTCTTTGCCTTTTCCTCAGCTTTCTTTCGTTAATTGCCCTCGTGTTCTTGTTTCCTTTGCCTTTCTTTTTCCTTTTTTCCGTTCGTCATATTACCAACCTTATTTATAAGGTCTTCTATTTTTAATTTGTAAAATTTTTCTAGTTCTCTTTTGTACTCTTTGTCACACTTTTCTTATTATTTTTAATATAATTTTCAACTCCTTTCATTATCTTTGGAAGTTGGTGCTGACTGTTAACGGAAGGAGAGAAGTCGTTGGCTAACTGTGCTAGGCCTGAGTCAAATGACGTTGCAGTGGAGCCAAATTTGTGACCAAGGGCATCTTCCAACGAAGGTTTCTTCCGTATTTTTTCTAGCTATCGTTTCAGCAAGCAACCATCCCTTTGTACTTGGTCCTGCTGCTGTTGTTCCGCTTAGTCCTCGTTTTTAAATCCTTTTCATTCTCAAAAGTTCTCTCTTCTCTCCCTTTGTCTTGTTTATCCTCTTTACTTTCTCTGCTCAATCTTCCTCTTCATTTTTCCATCAGAAATCTTTGATCCGCTTTCGCGGTTGCGCAGTTTTTCTTATAAATTCATTCCGCTGCTACGAAACGTTTGCTAGGAACAGCAGATCAATACTTGTCCCATTGATTTTCCATTCAGTTTCTCATCCTCACTATTGAGTGTTGATTGTTGTCAGTAGAAGCTACTTGTTTTCTAACTTTGCGTGAAGATCGATGTGATGAGAGTTCGATTTGCCTTAGTGCGGCTTAGCATGGCACAAGGCTTGCCTCGGCAGCGTCAACTTCAAGTGCGACAGCCTCAGACATGAAACCAACGAAAACCGCAAGATGATCATTTTCGGTATGCCGCTGAAGAAACACCTGGACGACACGGGCACAGTGACTCCTGACGTGATCCTTCGCTGTGTACATGAACTCGAAAGAAGGGGCGGCATCCGTTCGAAGGCAATGCTGCCAGCGGCGCGTTTGTCTTGTTAAACTCTAACGTTCCGTTTCAGGGTCTCTACCGCGTCTCCGGCGTTAAGTCAACGATAGAGGAGCTGTGTGACAAGTTTGAACGAGGCCAAGCGGATCTGACGGACGTTCCCCCGGCGACCATCGCGTCTGTCATCAAACTGTACCTGCGCCAGTTGCCAGAGCCGTTGCTTACCTACGAGCTGTATCATGATTTCATAAGTTTTGCTCAGGTAAGAACGCGATTAATCTGTCTCCTGACCACCACTCCGGATTTCGTTGAAAAAAACCAGAGTAACACAGGATGAAATATTGAGCGAATATATATCATATAACTATGTTTGTGTTGGAGCGGTCATTGAGAAGAGGGTTGGCATTTGCAGCTTGTACTCGTTTGATCCTCGATTGACCTGTGCCATACCTCCACTGTTCGTTCGTGTTGATCCTCGATTGCCGCAATATTCCTTGCAAGTCAGAGATAGAATCGTCCCAGCTGCTTGGAGGGTGGCCAAGCGGTCTCATGGAATTTCACGGCTACCCGTCGACGGTGTCCTCCTTGACTAATCGAGGATCAATTAGCAGATCAGATCAGCGTATCTGACCGCCTTTATTCTCCATGCTTTCGAGGACGAAGTCTGTCATTCTGGTTTGATACGTAATTTCTGCACCCGATATATCATCGCCGAGCGAAATTTCCAGCATCTTTCTTTCCAAGCTTCTCTGTCAGTAACGGACAGACGTGCTTCTTCTCTTCATCAGCGACAATGTTTCTTGTCGTGCAACGTCGCCGGAAATACGGTGTTTAATAGATGGGCTGGTGTTGTTCTGTTCGTCTTGCACTTGCTTGTTTGTACTCATTTTCCTGTTTGTTGTTTCATT